CCGGGGCCGCCCCGGCGGCGCGCTGCGGCGGCCATGTTGGCGGCCCGGCCGCGGCGGTGCCTGGCAGGTGCCGCAGGCTGTGCTGGGCGAGTACGTTTTAGGAGCGTTTTTGTTCCTTTTCGGTCTTTTATTTAAAGTAAGAATCTTTCTAGAGGTTGTTGCAGGAAAGAAAAAAAGACAGAAAATAATCTGAATAAGCTGATGCAGCTAGTCTAAGTGAATATCCCCGTGGTAGGTGTATTGCTTATTTCAGTCCCGCTTGGCCTTCTCGGTAATGCTGAGGAGGAGTCTCCAGAAATCTCCATTGCTACCAAATAAATGTACAAGGTGCTGTCCAAGATAGAGGTTTGACAAATTTTTAAAGAAAGAGAATCTTCCAGCATCTCTCTAAAATACAGGTGGATTTGGTATGTCCGGCCCTTGAATAAACCCTGCACTTGTAGCACACGTCACTGTTGCTTAAATATCAGCTATTACCAGAAGTGTGTCCAGGGCTTTGATTATTATTGTGGTAAATATAATACATTATCCCATGTTGAGTGTTACAATGTTGTTAGGAGAACTGCTAACCATTTTCAAAGCTTTTTTGGCCTCTGAAAGTCCAAGGTGACAGAGCATCACTGCTGGGAAGTTGGTTCACTACAGGTACAAGTTTATTGGGACTGTGAAAAGTAATTACATGCACATTCTGAACCACATAAGCCAAAAAAGAGCAAAGTGCTATGTAAGGTCTTAAAATGCTTACATTTCATTTTTAGCTTTTGTGAGATAATGGAAAAAAACTCAGCGAGGACACAGGATGGATCAGGGTCAGAAAAGTATTAATTCAGCAAAGAGCCAGAAGGTTTCTGCAGGGACATCTGTAACTTGAGATCCGGAGAGGTAAGAGATTTCTGATGGTACAGCTGATTCTGCAGCCTGTCTTCATGCACGCACACATACTGCAACGGGATTTTTCTTGGGCGGCAGGGAGAAGGTGGCAAAGAGGTGGGAGTAATGTTGGAAAAACGCTACTAACGATTTTCCTTTTTGAACAGAAGGAAGTAACACATCAACAGCAGTGTAATTCTGATGATCTTTAGTATATGTATGCCTTATGCTTACTCAGAGCCAAAAATACTGGGGTGGTGTTACCTGCTAATACATTCCCCGCGTTCCTCCCACAGTTGAAATTAACTTGACTGTATGAATGATATTCATAGCCCAATCTACAAGATTATTTCCTAGGAGCTGTAGTTAATGCAGTATCACTGCAACTGTGGGGGGAAAAGACTGTGGTTTTAGTTGTCTTGTTCCTTTTCACCCTTTGCTTGCTGTTAGAATTGCACTTAAAATTGCACTCTTCTGTCATGGCTGTGGGAAAGTGCTTCATTCACTTTCTGTTAACAGGCTAGTTGTCCAGAAAGAGGTGTCATCCATATTACTGCAGAGTCTTAGCTCCCAGGGGCTGCTTAAGTGGGGCCCTGAAGCTGGAGCACTGCTGATTGCTCCTAGGATCATATAGCCTTCTTTGCTATGCGTTTTGTAGCCGTTGAAGCATTGCCGGGGTCTTCCAGGTATGTGAGCCACTCTGAGTAAGTTTTTAGTGATTGTGATCCCCAAACCTGCACATCTCCCTCAGTCCTTCCCAGAATTTTGTAAAGGAAGAAGGGACCACCAGATAACTGAACTGGTAATTTCAGGGGCAGAATGACTAAGAGGGAAAAAGGGGCTTACTCTCCACTTTGTTTTGTGATGCTGGCAAGTCTCACGCTCCAGTCAACAACAGTATGGGGAAACAGTATGTATGGGGAAAAAATGTAGTGATGCATTATTGCCTGAAGTAGTAAGAAAATGTTATTGAAATGGTGCACAAAGCCAGCTCATTCAATACACCATAAAATACTGAACGAACAGTGAAATCAAAATGGTGTACTCAAGACAGCAAAATGGAGATGTTTCATTAGGAAAACACCACTAAATATTGAAATTTATGCAACAGAAAATGCTGTAAGAAAAGTACCTCTTAGAAAGCAGAAGTCTCAGTCAATCCTTTTTGAGGAAAATCCCTTCAACAGAGATTTATTAGAAATTTCCTCCTGGCTCATTCGGTAATGTTGATGGTTTAGGCAACAGATTTGAAGCTCCATGCTTTTTTGCAAAGTATACTTTTCAGTGTCTTCTTGCTACTTTCTATAAATTATTTACTCTCAGGAATCTCTAAAATGAATTCTTGTTCACAACAGTTCAACATACATGCAATTGCTGGACTAGCTCTTTTTAAAATGACCTTTCAGTACATTCATGTGCTACCTTCGTTATTCAGTAGTCATATTCTTTCACTGGGGCTTGATGTATGACTGTGTAAGTCAGTACTCATTGTGGGACTGATGCGAGCCTTCTGATTTTGGAGGATTGAGATGCTGATTAAAAAAAGATGGTTACTGAAAAGATGAGAATATTTGTTACTCTTAATAATGAGGAAACTTTAATTTGTACTTGCTCTGTAAGATTTGTCATTGCTTAAATATATTCCTACAGAGCACTAGATGAGAGCATTAAAAATTAAATTGTGCTTACATGTTTAACACTGACATGTTATTCATTCTCCTCACTATGCCCCATGAATTGCTTTGCAAGATCAGAACTATAACATGCTCATTATCTAATGGGAACGTTGTCTTGCTTAAAGTGAAGTATGGATAGGAGAGTTTATTAGAGTTGGGCCCTAACAATTGTGGGCCTGATATTGGAAGCGAACAGCACGGGCTTAGCGTGATGACTCTGACTGGGGCCTTATTGTTTCAGCGTTTATGGAATTTTGTTGATGTTTGACTTACATGTTTTCCAAGGGTGAAGGATATCCTTAATTATATAGCTTGCAAATGTTACCATAATTATGTTTCACTTTAAACAGGGCTTGGTTCTACCACGAGGGGTTCCGTCACGTCAGATGGTCTCTAGTGACATGATGACATCATGTTATATAAGCAGATGCTCTGAAATGTTATCATTCGAAGAATCAGTCCTCCCCAACATTTATGCTCACAAAGTGTATATTAGTAAATATGAAGTTGGTGTTTTCTGATTCAAAAATAGGAAAATGTTTAAATCATATTAACTTTCATATAACAATCATTCCTGCAGATTGAAACTGCATTCCACTCAAAAATTTGGGAAACATTTGACTAGTATAGTTTATTCATATTAAAACTGTGCCCTAGTTGTTACCGTAACCCATTTCCAAATTAAAATTCAGATCCAGTATTTTATTCTGAAAAAATACATGGGTGCCTTTAAGACCCTGCCATCCTTATTGGGGCTTTGTGAAGACTCACTAGTTTCCATGCACATACCTAGTTGGCTTGGTATTCTTGACTGAAAAACAATATAAAGGGAAGAATACATACAGTATATAATCCAATAATGGTTTATACATACATTATGAATCTACAATGTTTGTTTTCCTTCTGCTGTCATCTGTTCTCAGTATTCCTAAAACCTCTTCCTTTTCTTATGGACATACACATCTCTCTTTTAGTAATGAGAACCATATTCAAAATATGTCTCCCTCTCCTTTTAACATAAAAAGGGTGAGATTGACCTAAATTCATGTCCAAAAGTGTATTTACTATATCTTTAGCGCCTATAATCTAAATTCTTGATCATTTCTAGAGATAGTACTTCCTGATTTGCAAAGCACAGTAGGAGTATGTAAATAAAAGTACTGATCATTTGAGAAGTAGATCAGCCACTGTATAGAATAGAAATCTAGACTAGTCTGAATGTATAATTCATTCTGTTTCTCAAAATATCTACTTCTTGTGGTTTTCTTTTTTACCCCTACATTTATTTTTTATTCTGCCCACCTCTCCCTGACTCCCCTTTCTAAGCAAAACACAGGCCAGATTGCTTTATCTTAAGAGAAGGAGTAGAGAGTGTGATGGGGAGTAAGATGGCTTTAAACCATCCTTAGGGTTTTCTGACTGTAAGGTCAAGAGTGATGAGGGCCAGCTGGCAATAGCCATAGTACAGTATTGCTCTGGGTATGACATTTTCTTCTAGCCGTACGCCTGAGTTGTATATTGTAGTGGGGACAAAAGAGGGCAGCCACAACGTTTATCATTGTGGAGAACTCTTAATAGGTGTTCTTCCTGAATAGCTCCATCTTTGCAGCCCTTTTATATTGCTAGAGCATAATGTAAAATCTGAACAGAGAAATATGCTTTGACTTCCCAATTTACCTTTGAATAGCATTATTTTTCACACTTTTGAAAAGTGAAAAAATGTTGCCCTTCTTTAGCAGACTTTTAGTTAACTTGTGCAGGTATTCAGCAATGATAAAGAACTCGTAACTGCCACAACTGAAACAACAGCAGGGAGCTAAAAGATTCTGCCTCTCATTAGAATCCCTCTCTCAGCCATATATTTAAAAAGTTGCTCTTTATATATTCCTCTGTAGCTGAAGACAGGAGGAGATTGTGGCTTCTTAGAAGTCATATTAAATTTGAAATAAAAATACAAAAGTCTACGATAATTCTCTTCAGTAAACTAAATTCAACAGCTACAATATGCCCAATATATTACATTCACAGCGCTATCTTTTCCAGGTTTTGCTGAAGTTATGTATTTCAACAGGAATCAATTTTCTCTATTAATACAACT